TTAATTAAATTATAATTTGTTATATGAGTTTTGACTTTAAAAGTGATATTTGCTTATGATTTGTATCGGACATATGCTAAGATCATGTGATGTGAAGTAATTTTTAATCTGGGTTAAACCGTCAGTTTTTGAAACATGTTTAGAAAATTGTAGTTTCACCCCTATATGTGATTTTTGAATATATATATTATGTATGATTTATAAGCGCAACATAATATGCTCTTGATTTACACGTTACTTGAGATTATGCATGAATTGTTGTGGTGCTAAAACCACCTACGAAGTACCCATCCCCTAGAGTTACATATTATCAGATCTAGTTTATGGCTTTATGCATGCGTATGACAGTTATCAGTGCTCTACCTAGGCGTTGAGTCTGTCAGGGTGACAGTTTCAGAGGCTGCTGCGCGATGATAGATTTGCCGGTATGACAGGTACATTCCTCTCTCTGCCTGCAAGCAGGACGACCACCAGGTATGACAAATTTTCCCCAGCGTACTAGTGTGGGTGGAGTTTCTAATACCAAATGTTGAAGTTTTATTCAAAATCCGATACAGTTAAAGGAAAGTCAGAGTACGTTTACTGGGTGCAGGATGGTTAGAAATAAATCACATATTGCATACGTGAATGGGATGGTTGTTTCCATTGCATATTCATAGAATTATATTATCATCAGAATTTGCTTAAGAATTGTTGGATGTTATTATTATTTCTTTTTAAGAACTTTTAAAGCTCCCCTTTCCCACTCACTGAGTATTTCAGCTCACTCCTTTTTAAATGTTTTCCCCCCCTCACCAGGACCTCCCGAAGATCGTGCCGAGCAGTAGTCTCCGCTCAAGGTTGTGCCACGCGTCAACATCTTTTATATGGGTTTTATATTTATGTCGTATTGTATTTCTGGACTTCCGTTTCAAAAACTCATGTCTCACACATGTATTCTTGCTTATGTTTTTAGAATGTGTGTATAAGGGAAACCTGATACCACAAGTTTCCCTAAATCTTTTCTTTGAAAATGATAGATGGTGTATGTTTTTTTTTTTTTTTTTTTTTTTTTTTTTTTTTTTTTTTTTTTGAGATGTTAGAAATGGAAATACTATGATGTTATTCAGAAAAAGTAAGTCCTTTAACATGTTTCACATTTTTTTCTACATGGCACGTCTCGGGTATCCGAGTCTTGTGAGAGCACCCGAATCCTACGGGATGAGGAAATTCGGGACGGGTCGTGTTAGTATTAATTAATAATTTATTTTGTGGGGTCAACATGAAGTTAAATAGGGTTAAAATTGTAAAATCTATAAACTATTAATACTTTTTTTAAATTTTTAAAAAATTCAGTGGATTCAATTAAACCCACAAGCTACTATGTGGTTACGTGCCTGGTTAATCTGATAATTGTTCGAGAGAAAGTTATTAGAATTTTAGGGAGTTTGGCTTATAGAAAAAACCTACTATTGTTAGCATTAATTGTCAATACATAGGAGTAAATTGGTATGAAATTTGTGCCTCAAGTTTAGTCATATTGCTTTGCATTGAATTTGTTATTTAAATTCTGCTTCCTTTTAGTTTTTAGTTTTCTTTTAATTTGTTAATTTTAGCTTGATTCATTCTTTAAAGTTTTTATTAATCAACTAGTAATAGAATAGTTTATTTTGGTAGTTGGTAACTAGTAATTCTCCAGGGTTCGATATATGTTTACTCAAGCTGTATTACTTGCATGAATCCATACGCTTGCAGAACTCTAGTAAAAACGATCATTTCTATTAAATAATTAACACGTTTTGGTAGAAGGGAATTGTGCCGTGGCACTATGCCGCAGCACACAAGTAGAAGGGAAGCATGCCGCGGCACACAAGGAAGAAGCTGGAACTAAAATTCCAAAATGCTTGATGCCTAGGCACTGTGTCGAGGCATGGTTTAGAATTTCAATTTTAGATAAAATCAAATTAAGTTATTTTAAGTTTTTATTACTCTATAACTTCTTGTAATTATTGTTGTAAGTTTTTTTAGTTATGCTTTTAAAACCTAAAAAAAGGAATGTTAGATGTATGCTTTAATTGAGTTCAATGAATATAATTGTTCTCCTTTTACACAAATTCATCTCTCCTTCTTTATCTTATGAAATTAGAAGCCTGAAAATTGATTTTATTGGCTTCTAATTTCCAACAATTTCAATTCAAGGATATAAACTTGTTGACGCTTGATTTTGGACGTCAACGACTCGCACGTGCAAAGTGCTAAGAGAGCCCTAGAAATTACACGTGATGGACCCATGAGATTCGAATATGGAGTTAAGATTATATATGTTGTAAAAAACATAAATAATAGACTGATAAGAGAGGTTTTTATAGTGGTTCGGATGCTTAAAGCATATCCTACATCCATTGTTATTTTATTGATCTCTGACTATTTCTGTGATTTTGCCCATAAGGCATACAAAGATGAAGAAATACAGTGTTTACAGAGAGAAAGAATTGAGCTCAAATCTATGCCTAGCTCTCATATGCCCAACCTCCCTTTTCAGGAAGAGAAGTGTCAATTTATACACCTTTGAGGTCAATGTAATGAGTGTTTTGCAAGTTGCCTTGACACATGGAAAGCTTTCGTTCATTCATCTCTTGAAATGAGAAAGGGTTGGTATGAATATCTTTGAGAAGGTATGGGCTTGGCAGCTAGCACAAAAAAGACATTTATTGAGCTAACATAAGCGTGACTTTTTAGGCATAACAGAAGCCCTCCAGTTTTTGGAGTGCGTAGTCGCACTTTAGAAACTAAGGTCTTTGATCTGGATGGCTGTTGCACTATAGGTTGCAGTCTCGAACTGAAGAGCTTGAACTATTCTTGGCGCGATCAAGTGCTGAGAGCTAGGACTGTGATATGAGAGCATAACGAGCTCTATCTGAGAGCATAATGAGCTCGACCTGAGTGCATAACGAGCTCGACCTGAGATCGACATGGGAACAAGAGATTGGTGATCTAAACATGCGATTTGAAGCTAAAGATCAAGACGACTTGAGCGTGCGATCTGCGATCTGACCACGTGATTAGATAACTCTGACGTATGCGATCGGCGATCTGGCCACACAATTGGAGAATTCTGATGCGTGCGATCAACGATCTAGCCACACGATTGGAGAATTCTGACGCGTGCGATCGGTGATCTGGCCATGCGATTGGAGAATTCTCACGCGTGTGGTCTGACCATGCGATTAGAGAATTCTAACGGGCGATTTGCGATTTGGCCACGCGATTGGAGAATTCTAACGCGTGCGATCTGTGATCTGGCCACGTGATTTGAGAATTCTAACGCTTGCGATCGACAATCTGGCCACGCGATTGGAGAATTCTGACGTATGCGATCTGTGATATGGCCATGCGATTGGAGAATTCTAACGCGTGCGATTGGCGATCTAGCCACGCTATTGGAGAGAATTCTAACACGTGCGATCGATGATCTGGCCACGCGATTGGAGAATTCTTACGTGTGCAATCTGCGATCTAGCCACACGATTGGAGAATTCTAATGCGTGCGATCTGACCACGCGATTGGAGAATTCTGATGCATGCGATTTGCAAATTGGCCACGCGATTGGAGAATTTTGATGCGTGTGATCAACGATCTGGCCACGCGATTGGAGAATTCTGATGCGTGCAATCGGCGATCTGCCCACGTGATTAGAGAATTCTGACGCGTGCGATCTGGCCACGCGATTGGAGAATTCTAACGCGTGCGATCGACGATCTGGCCACGCGATTGGAGAAATTTGACGTGTGTGATCTGCATCTGGCCACACGATTAGAGAATTCTAACGTAGATTTGAGACCTACACAGGCCACCAAACTGTTGACACTTGATATTGGACGCCAACGACTCACACGTGCAAAGTGGTAAGAGAGCCTTAGAAATTGCATGTGATGAATCCATGAGATTCGAATATGGAGCTGAGAGTATATATGTTGCAGAAAACATAAATAATAGACTGACAAGAGAGGTTTTTATAGTGGTTCAGATGCTTAAAGCAAATCCTACATCCACTGTTATTTTATTGATCTCTGACTATTTCTGTGATTTTGCCCATAAGACATACAAAAATGAAGAAATACAGTGTTTACAGAAAGAAAGAATTGAGCTCAAATCTATGTATAGCTCTTATATGCCCAGCCTTCCTTTTCGGAAAGAGAAGTGCCAATTTATACATCTTTGAGGTCAATGTAATGAAAGTGATCTTCTACTAACAAATAGTAAGAACCAATGTAAATTTAGTTTATCATTTTGCATAACTATCTAGTTTAATATCTGTCACATGATACATCGAATCTGCAGAAGCGAACTCAGACTAATTTGTAGATCACAGTGTTTCTCAACTACTTGGTTGAAAAAACACCATTCTTTATTATATGCTAATATCTTGCTTCTTTTTTGTGATGTTATTATAATATTATTTTATTTAAGGAGTTAGGTATGTTAATTATTTAAATGTCTTACTTCAAGTCTCTATATACTCCCTTCTGATAACATGATGACGGAATTAGATTAGCTGACCTCATATCTGGACATCAACAATTTTGAATCTTGCGTGTAATTGATAGCTGCGTATTAAAAAATTTTAGCTTGAAATTTAGGTAGAGTATTGCATGGTATTGGCGGAAGAGGTACCAAATAAAACCTGGCGGCACAAAATATGTTAAAAGTCAATTCATATGCTTTAAGAGTTCAATCCCCTTCTTCAGGTGCACTTGAAAATGAGAATTTGGATCTCCTATATGTTTTTTAATAGTCTTATTTACAAATCAATATTTGGAAAGTCAAACCACATTGTCTCACATAATACAATAACAAGTAAAAATGTACAAGAACTATCGGTCTTAGAAACTCGCAAAAAGTTTTAGAAACAATATTTCTTTTTACATGTACCATGATTAGTCCAAAGAAAGGCTTTATTGCAAGTAAGATATTTGATTCAACGACCTTCTATGAGGACTGAATCACAAGTAGACATGGTCTACACAGAACTACTTTCAAACAATGTGGGAAATGACATTCCACTATTAGAAGCTTCATTACTATTTATGAACACATCCATTGAACTGCTATTAGGTGATATATCTGGCAATGTAGCATCGCCGTCCAGATACTGCATCAACTGTCTCATGTTAGGCCTTGCTGCGGGGTTAGAGTGTGAACAAAACAGCCCTAGTTTCAGTACCAACTCCATTTGCTCCTCTGCATAAATACCTTCTAATCTTGGATCACTGGCATTGATGATAGCTCCTCTTTTCCAGCAATTGATTACGCATTCAACCAAATATACCACTCCATAACCTTGTTGCTCTATAGGCCTCCTTCCACAAGCCACCTCAAGCATGAAAACCCCAAAAACAAATACATCCGTGCTGGTAGTTGCCTTTCCAGTTCTAATGAGCTCTGGAGCCAAATAACCTACAGTTCCCACAAGGTTAGTGGTTTGCGGATTGCTATCGTGGTCATATAGTTTAAAAATCTTTACAAGTATGATGTGTGAGATTTATTCTAGTTTGCTTTTGGCTAATTGAGTTGAAAACGTGTTGATTGTGTTGGTGGCCGAAATCTTGTTGTAAAATGAAAGTTACTGGTTTGTGTTGTTACTTGCTCGGCTGCTATGCAAATATTGTGTTGGTTGAAAATAGCTTCTAGAAATGATTTGAGTATGAAGCTTGCTAAAACTTACACTTAGCATGTCCCGGCTGAGCAAGTTTTGAGTGAAAGTGTCTCAGATCTGAATTTAACAAAGCTGATTTCTGGGCATGTCACAGATCTTTCCTAAAAACACAAGACTCAAGCTTGTATATTAATGTCTTGTTGAGAGCCTTGTTATTTTGTGAACTGCTTAAATGGTTTTCTTTACTTGTTTTTGGACGAATCTTTGAAGTGCTTGATTGAGTTTTTAAGTGGGATGCATTTGCTGTTAATTGTAACCACTTGCACTCGGCTGGATACATTAGGATGATGGCTGACTTGTGTGTTTTGTGAATATTGCTGGGTATAAACTGCATTCTTGACTGGACAGCATGTTAAAGAAGGACTGAGATTTGTGATGTTGGTAAATAATTTTCCGGTTAAAAAGGGCAAATAGGGTGCTTTTCGTCAGTTTTGAAAGTATGCTTTAAAAACCTACATTTACCCTATTTTCCATGAAACTCATATGTTGGCATGATTTACCTAATGAATATTCTATATTATTATTATATTCATCATATTATTATATTTTGCTCTTGGATTTAATTATAATTATAATTTGTTATATGAGTTTTGACTTTTAAAGTGATATTTGCTTTGATTTGTATCGGCATATGCTAAGATCATGTGAGTTGAAGTAATTTTTAATCTGGGTTAAACCGTCAGTTTTTGAAACATGTTTAGAAAATTGTAGTTTACCCCTATATGTGATTTTGAATTTATATCATATATTGTATGATTTATAAGCGCATACATAATAGCTCTTGATTTACACGTTACTTGAGATTATGCATGAGATGTGTGTGGTGCTAAAACCACCCTACGAAGTACCCATCCCTAGAGTTACATATATCAGATCTAGTTTATGGCTATGCATGGTATGACAGTTATCAGTTCTCTACTAGGCGTTGAGTGGTCTGTCAGGTATGACAGTTTCGAGGCTCTGCCTGCGCGATGATAGATCTTGCCGAGTATGACAGGTACATTCCTTCTTGCCTGCAAGCAGACGACCACCAGGTATGACAAATTTCCCCAGCGGATAGTTGTGTGTGAGAGTTTCTAATACCAAATGTTGAAGTTTTATTCAAAATCCGATACAGTTAAAGAAGGAAGTCAGAGTACAGTTTACTGGGTGCAGGATGGTTAGAAATAAATCACATATTGCATACGTGAATGGGATGGGTGTTTCCATTGCTATCATATGAATTATTTATCATCAGAATTTGCTTAGAATTGTTGTATGTATATTATTTCTTTTTTAAGAACTTTATAAAGCTCCCTTTCCCCCACTCACTGAGTATTTCAGCTCACTCTTTTTTAAATGTGTTTTCCCCTCACCAGGACCTCCCGAAGATCGGTGGAGCAGTGAGTCTCCGCTCAAGGTTGTGCCACGCGTCAACTTTTTATATGGGTTTTAATTTATGTGTATTGTATTTGGACTTCCGTTTCCAAAACTCATGTCTCCCATCATGTATTTCCTTTTGCTTATGTTTAGAATGTGTTGTATAAGTGGAAAAACTGATACCACAAGTTTCCTAAATCTTTTCTTTTGAAAATGATAGATGGTGTATGTTTTTTTTTTTTTTTTTTTTTTTTTTTTTTTTTTTTTTTTGAGATGTTAGAAATGGAATACTATGATGTTATTCAGAAAAAGTAAGTCCTTAACATGTTTCACAATTTTTTCTACATGGCACGTCTCGGGTCTCGAGTCTTTTGAGAGCACCCGAATCTAGGGATGAGGAAATTCGGGAAGGGTTCGTGTAGTATTAATTAATAATTTATTTTGTGGGGTCAACATGAAGTTAAATAGGGTTAAAATTGTAAAATCTATAAACTATTAATACTTTTTTTAAATTTTTAAAAAATTCAGTGGGATTCAATTAAACCCACAGCTACTATGTGGTTACGTGCCTGGTTAATCTGAATTGTTCGAGAGAAAGTTATTAGAATTTTAGGGAGTTTGGCTTATAGAAAAAACTCACTATTGTTAGCATTAATTGCAATACATAGGAGTAAATTGGTATGAAATTTGTGCTCAAGTTAGTCATATGCTTTGCATTGAATTTGTTATTTAAATTCGCTTCCTTTTAGTTTTTAGTTTCTTTAATTTGTTAATTTTAGCTTGATTCATTCTTTAAAGGTTATTAATCAACTAGTAATAGAATAGTTTATTTGGTAGTTGGTAACTAGTATATTCTCCAGGGTTCGATATATGTTACTCAAGCGGATTACTTGCATGAATCCATACGCTTGCAGAACTCTAGTAAAAAACGATCATTTCTATTAAATAATAAACGTTTTGGTAGAAGGAATTGTGCCGTGGCACTATGCCGAGCACACAAGTAGAAGGAAGCATGCCGCGGCACACAAGGAAGAAGCTGGAACTAAAATTCCAAAATGCTTGATGCCTAGCACTGTGTCGAGGCATGGTTTAGAATTCAATTTAGATAAAATCAAATAAGTTATTTAAGTTTATACTCTATAACTTCTTGTAATTATTGTTGTAAGTTTTTTTAGTTATGCTTTTAAAACCTAAAAAAAGGAATGTTAGATGTATGTCTTATTGAGGTCAATGAATAAATTGTTCTCCTTTTACACAAATTCATCTCTCCTTCTTTATCTTATGAAATAGAAGCCTGAAAATTGATTTTATTGGCTTCTAATTTCCAACAATTCAATTCAAGGATAAAACTTGTTGACGCTTGATTTTGGACGTCAACGACTCGCACGTGCAAGTGCTAAGAGAGCCCTAGAAATTAACGTGATGGACCCATGAGATTCGAATATGGAGGTAAGATTATATAGTTGTAAAAACATAAATAATAGACTGATAGAGAGGGTTTTTAAGTGGTTCGGATGCTTAAAGCATATCCTACATCCATTGTTATTTTATTGATCTCTGACTATTTCTGGATTTTGCCCTAAGGCATACAAAGATGAAGAAATACAGTGTTTACAGAGAGAAAGATTGAGCTCAAATTATGCCTAGCTCTCATATGCCAACCTCCCTTTCAGGAGAGAAGGTGTCAATTTATACACCTTTGAGGTCAATGTAATGGTGTTTTGCAAGTTGCCTGACACATGAAAGCTTCTTCGTTATTCATCTCTTGAAATGAGGAAGGGTTGGTATGAATATCTTGGAAGGTATGGGCTTGGCAGTAGCACAAAAAAGACATTTATTGAGCTAACATAAGCGTGACTTTTTAGGCATAACAGAAGCCCTCCAGTTTTTGGAGTGCGTAGTCGCACTTTAGAAACTAAGGTCTTTGATCTGGATGGCTGTTGCACTATAGGTTGCAGTCTCGAACTGAAGAGCTTGAACATTTTGGCGCGATCAAGTGTGGAGAGCTAGGAATGTGATATGAGAGCATAACGAGCTCTATCTGAGAGCATAATGAGCCGACCTGAGTGCATAACGAGCTCGACCTGAGATGACATGGGAACAAGAGATTGGTGATCTAACATGCGATTTGAAGCTCTCATGAATGGCCAAAAATCTTACTATCACTATTATATTTTTTATATATTTATTTTTGAAAAGAATAATTCATTCTCTTCAAGTTCATTTGTATTTAGTTAAAGAATAATTTTAGAGGATGAGTAATGATGTTGCTATTTTTTTTGTAATAAGCATGAATATTTATAATCAGAATTTATAGGTAACCTCTAATTGTAACTTTGTATTACATGTTCTAGCTTGTTCTAGAAACAGATGCCTAAAGTTTAAAAAATAACCATGTTGCACACACATTTATGAGCCATATAAGAAAAGGAATGCATATGATATGGAAAAATCCTACTTCTCTTGTGAGCTCAATCTGTATATTATTGATTTCCTTTTTTTCTCCCTTGACATAAGTGATAATAGATTTTCGCTTTTCATCCAAAATTAATTTGTCAAAATTCCTTGACATAAGTGATAATAGATTTTCGCTTTTCATCCAAAATTAATTTGTCAAAATTTGGTCCAGAATTTTGACAGATTAATTTTGGATATCTTGGTTAGTAATAAAGGGTTAATCTCACTGACGTAGTCAGTATTTTGAGTTAGTGGATTCAAAACATCAAAGTTAATAAATTTACAATAAAATATATACGGAAGTAATAAGCATAAAAAATGTACTTATAAAAGTTATATAGACCAAATTATCAATTCTACAATTGTTCTCAATGATTTTTCATATTCTGAAAACGTTGTATAATTGTTTCATTGATAATTCCATCAAACATCTCTCTCTCTCAGTAGATATAATAAGACAATAATTTAATAATTGATCTCCTATTCGATTTCGTAGTCGATTTTTCACAATCTTCATCGCACAAAATGCTCTTTCAACACTTGTAGTCGCAACAGGTAATATCAATGTTAATTTTATGTTCAAAAAGATAACAACACAAACAAAAACACCCTCCTTTTCTACACTGTAATCTAATTAATTTGCATATTCTCTAAATTAAATGGGATTAAAACGATGCATCAAATTCTCAATTGCTCGCTTTTTAAAATTATGATTGTGTGGTTGGCAAGGTCCTTTTTGCAAGAATGTCTTTCTCACTTTGTCTCTATCATTAGGATGATATTCTAAAATTTAATCCTTAATCTAGGATCTGGAGGAAGACTACTCAAGTTAAACTTAATATATGTTTGTCTTGAATTAGATTTCATAAGCTCATTGTGAACACTATCCTGAAGCCTTATGTTTTGTTCAATTGATGGTTTCTCATTAGAAAACTTTCTTTTGATAAAAAACTTCTCCATAACTAAAAAAAATAAAAGAATTTTTATTATCAGAAATATAATTTATTTGCAATTACAATTAAAAAACAACACAAACTTAGGTTTTTCAAACAATTTCTACTAACCCAATAAAATTCAACTTATAAACCCATGAAAATTCATTAAATCTAACTCTAAATGTCAAGCAACTAACCAATATATCAAAATTAAACCAAATCCCAAAATCTCTATAACTTAAGATTTCATCAATTCTTTAAACCATGTTTAAAATTAACTCAATAACTAACCACAATTTATTAAACCCTACTTAAAACAACAATTAATTAACTCATACCTCAACATAGACAAGATTAAATCAAAACTCATATCAAAATCTAGGAGTTATTTCAAACTTATTTATTAAACTCAATAAAAACTCATAACTCATGATCTTTCATCAATTAAGAAAGTTAAAAGGAAAAAAATAATTTTAAGTAAAAAAATAAAAATAAAATTAGTATCATCTTACCTTGTAATCCAAAGGAGTAGCATTTCTTGAGTATCCAACCAAAAGAAAAATATAATATGAGAGTAAAAGAGAGGAAATAAAGAAAAGAAAAAAGTTTAAAAAGTATTTGTAAAACCCCATTTCTAATTTAGTAATGGCATGAATTTTATTTAGTTATTTAATTCCCTTTCTATTTGATTTTATGGTATTGTTGTAAGAAAGGGGTATTTCTGTCAGTTTTTAAAGTTTGTGTTAAGGGTTGAAAACAAAGAAATAAATTCTGATGGGTTTGCATGTATCCAGAGGGAAAAATCTGGACATTATTGTAAGGATAACCTTATGTGGCGGGTTTAGAGTAATTAAGAGAATTTTGGGGGGCAGATTATCATTTCAGAAAACTGTTTTAGTTTTTAAGAAAATAAAAACTGGGTAGTTCGCCCAAATGAAGAAGAAGAAAACGAGAGCAGAGGAAGAAAAAAAAACAAAGAAGAAGGAGGAAAGAAAGAAGAGAAGAAAGAAAGGAAAGGAGAAAGAGAGAAAAGAGAGAAGAGAGGATAGAAAGAAAGAAGAAGAAAAGAAGAAAAAGGAGAAGAGAGGAGAATGGGTTCGGCTGAAAATGGTAAAGTGAGAGAGAAGAGTGGAGGAGAGTGTAGGGAGCTTCGGCTGAGTTAGAATAGTGAGTGGATCTAAACCGTTTTCCTTAAAAACTTAAACTTATGCCCTTGCAGGTCATTGTTTGTAAAAATCTTTACAAGTATGATGTTTGTGAGATATTTATTCTAGTTTGCTTTTGGCTAATTGAGTTGAAACGTGTTGATTGTGTTGGTGGCCGAAATCTTGTTGTAAAAATGAAAGTTTACTGGTTTGTGTTGTTACATTTGCTTCGGCTGCATGCATAATATTGTGTTGGTTGAAAATAGCTTGCTAGAAATTGATTTGAGTATGAAGCTTGCTAAAACTTTACCTTAGCATGTCCCGGCTGAGCAAGTTTTTGAGTGAAAGTGTCTCAGATCTGAATTTAACAAAGCTGATTTCTGTTGCATGTCACCAGATCTTTCCTAAAAACACAAGACTCATGCTTGTATATTAATGTCTTGTTGAGAGCCTTGTTATTTTGTGAAGACTGCTTAAATGGTTTTCTTTTACTTGTTTTTGGACGAATCTTTGAAGTGCTTGATTGAGTTTTTAAGTGGGATGCATTTGCTTGTTAATTGTAACCACTTGCACTCGGCTGGATACATATTAGGATGATGGCTGACTTGTGTTTTTGATGAAATTATTGCTGGGTATTAAACTGCATTCTTGACTGGACAGCATGTTAAAGAAAGGACTGAGATTTGTGATGTTGGTAAATAATTTTCTCGGTAAAAAGGGCAAATAGGGTGCTTTTCGTCAGTTTTGAAAGTATGCTTTAAAAACCTACATTTTACCCCCTATTTTCCATGAAATCTCATATGTTGGCATGATTTATCCTTATATGAAATATTCTTATATTATTATTATTATTATCATCATTATTATTATTATTTTTGCTCTTGGATTTAATTATAATTATAATTTGTTATATGAGTTTTGACTTTTAAAAGTGATATTTGCTTATGATTTGTATCGGACATATGCTAAGATCATGTGATGTTGAAGTAATTTTTAATCTGGGTTAAACCGTCAGTTTTTGAAACATGTTTAGAAAATTGTAGTTTCACCCCTATATGTGATTTTTGAATATTATATCATATATGTATGATTTATAAGCGCATACATAATATGCTCTTGATTTACACGTTACTTGAGATTATGCATGAGATTGTTGTGGTGCTAAAACCACCCTACGAAGTACCCATCCCCTAGAGTTACATATTATCAGATCTAGTTTATGGCTTTATGCATGCGTATGACAGTTATCAGTGCTCTACCTAGGCGTTGAGTGGTCTGTCAGGTATGACAGTTTCAGAGGCTCTGCCTGCGCGATGATAGATCTTGCCGAGTATGACAGGTACATTCCTCTCTCTGCCTGCAAGCAGGACGACCACCAGGTATGACAAATTTTCCCCAGCGTACTAGTTGTGGTGAGAGTTTCTAATACCAAATGTTGAAGTTTTATTCAAAATCCGATACAGTTAAAGGAAGTAAGTCAGAGTACAGTTTACTGGGTGCAGGATGGTTAGAAATAAATCACATATTGCATACGTGAATGGGATGGTTGTTTCCATTGCATATTCATAGAATTATATTATCATCAGAATTTGCTTAAGAATTGTTGTATGTTATTATTATTTCTTTTTTAAGAACTTTTATAAAGCTCCCCTTTCCCCCACTCACTGAGTATTTCAGCTCACTCCTTTTTTAAATGTTTTCCCCCCCTCACCAGGACCTCCCGAAGATCGTGCCGAGCAGTGAGTCTCCGCTCAAGGTTGTGCCACGCGTCAACATCTTTTTATATGGGTTTTATATTTATGTCGTATTGTATTTCTGGACTTCCGTTTCAAAAACTCATGTCTCCCATCATGTATTTCCTTTTGCTTATGTTTTAGAATGTGTTGTATAAGTGGAAAACCTGATACCACAAGTTTCCCTAAATCTTTTCTTTTGTAAAATGATAGATGGTGTATGTTTTTTTTTTTCATGTATTTCCTTTTGTTTCATATTTTGGAATGTGTAGTATAAGTGGAAAACCTGATACCAAAAGTTTCCCTAACTCTTTTCTTTTGTAAAACGAAAGATGATGCATGTCTTTTTTGAGATGTTGGAAATGGAAATAATATGATGTTATTCAGGAAAAATATGTCTTTAAACAGGTTTCGCAGTTTTTCTACATGGCACGTCTCGGGTATCCGAGTCTTGTGGGAGCGCCCGAATCCTACGGGATGAGGAAATTCGGAACAGGTTGTGTCAATTTTGTTCGGTTACAAAACCATAAGCTCGTTGCATCAAGATACGTGCATCAAGGTCCGGAGGTACACATATCCACATTTTGAGATCAAAGCGATCAGCTATCCTTTTGTCATTATAAACCAGTTTGGCTAGGGTGGTTTTTCCTATACCTCCCGTCCCAACTATAGCAGTTACAGATAAATTATCGGTTCGTTTCAGCAAAGACTTTATAACATTTTCCTTATCAGCGTCTCTCCCGAAAACTTCGGAAGTATCCACGAAGGTGTCACTTGCTACCCAGTCACTCGGATAATCACACCTAATGACAGGCGCAATCTGATTATAGTCACGTATAATAGTAGCTGCCTTTGCTTCTAACTTTTTTATAAGGTTCTTGATCTGATAAGAAGGTGCGAATTTGCGTACCTTGGATTTGTCACTTGCCAATATTCTCAACAGACGAGCAGCATCATCCAACATCTGTGAAGACTCTGCCAGACTATTCTGTGATGTCTGTATCTCAGCATCAAAAAGTACCAATGCCAGCTTCGTTATTGTTTTTCGAATATTCCTCGGAAAACCTGTTTTATTGGAATCAAGGTCCGTTTCGTTCTCCAAAATATCAAGCTGTGTAAAAAAGGGTCCTGGGTCTTGCATGTTCTTTGAGTGGAAGGAAGAAAAAAGGGTGCACTATTGGGTAATGAATTAGCTGTGGAGTACAACGTGAGAGATGATGCTTTTAACTTCGTACGAATTCCTAATACGGAAAGGCTAATCTCATAAGTCTCCTTTTAATTATAATTAAATAACAATAATCTTTTAACAGATATAATAATAAGAGAAATCTCCCAGTTGTCAAGTTTTTATTAGTTAAAATAAATAATCGAGAAGCAATTAGGTAAATATTTATTAACCCATCATATTATAGATTCTAACATCACATTAGATAAAGAGATTTATGTTATTTCTAAAATTTCAAAGAGAATTTTGTTATTTGGTTAATCTGTTGGAGTCAAGATCAAAACCTTTGTACTGTAAGAAGATAACTTCATTTACGAGCTCCTGGGGTGAACTTTAGTTTGATGACACTAAACTTTCTCTAAATAAGTTAATCTGGAGCTTCATCTTAAAAAAAAAAAAAAAAAAAAAAAAAAAAAAAAAACTCATCCATAGAAAGCAAGTTAGACAACATATGTAAACTAAGGGAAACAATTATATATATTGATGCACATGGATCCGCTAACGAAGACAACTCACTCCACATGGATGGGCATGTAACATTGTTCTTGTTCTTATCCGTGGATGTACACTCAAAAAATTCCTTCAATAATTAGTGGAAATTAATTAATTAAGTGGTCAATACATTAATTTGGTGCCAGATGTTTAGCTTAAAAAAGACTACGTGGTGTGAAAAGAGTGATTAGCAGTACTAAAGTCAATCAAAACGATTGCCTAACAAAAACGCATAAAAAATCCAAATTTGGGAAACGACAGCGCTTTTTATCATTAAGGTCTAATTTAGTAAATAGACCAATTTGCGCGTTCTTCTTAGGTAGTCGTTTTCCCTTGAAAGAATATTTGCTACGCGTCATTCATAAAAAAATTGTGTGCGCTCTCTTGATTGGTAAAACGCGTTAAGTCTTTAAAAATCATAGAGCAAACGACATGTTCCCACCCTAAGATTAGAAAAAGACAAGTTTTCGTCCCTGCTTTCATTTATCTTAGATTGTAACGGTCAAAACGTAAATAGTCATTTGTATTGTATTAATTCTTAAATAAAAATAAAAATTTTAAAATAACCCTCTACATCTCAAATTTCTATAATACGCATCCCTATGAAATTATCCAATAATCCCTACAAGTTTGAAATATGTCAACTACACCCTTACGATAGAAAAACCTAGATCCGTCGCCACAACAATCCCTTCACCCCAACCTAGATTTGTCCCGGAGAAGAGGATAGGAGAAGGAGAAAGAGAAAGAGGCAGAGAAGAGATAAGGAGAAAGAAAAACAAAGAGGCGACGACGGAGGCTAGATTTGGTTGTTGCCTACATCTGGAAAGGAGAAAGAGAGAGAGGAAAAAAAAAAAAAGACGATCTCGACGACCACATCTAGCTGCCGAGATATTACTGCCGCCACCAGGGAGAGGAGGAAGGTTGAAGAAGAGGGTGTTGTTGTAATAAATTTTAAAATAAGATGGTTATTTTTCTAGTTCTACCAATTAGGGGTTAAAAGGTGATTTTTTTTTTTTTTTTTTTTTTTGAAGGGCAATTTGATAATAACACTCTATACTATATAAGAACACAACAATCGTCAACGATGTTAATTTAATAATAAGAATCTAGAATAAATGAAACAAGCGATGAAAATTCGACTGTATAAACTCATAATGGTTAGCTCATAAAACTCTCTAAAATCTGTATGAACTCCAAATGGCTAGAACATGTACCAATCTTTGTTAAACATAAGGTCATTGACTAAAACATCCCCGTATTTAGTTTAGTATATATACATGGCCGAACGACTTACACATACCCAAGATTTGCCATAACGATAAGTTGGTACCCAAAATGTTTAGAAACAACAAACAGGTACCTTCCGTCATGTGTTATTAGTGATTTCCGTTTCCTAATAGTGAAAAGACTAGAATGCCCTTGACAGTTTGAAATTTTAGTTTTTTATAAATTTAAAAATTTCTAAAAAACCCCCTAGGTTTGCTAATTTAACTAAACACCGCAATATATAAAAATTTTGTAAAATGATAAAAATACCCCCACCACCCGCAATGCCAAATTCCAACCACCACCGTCGAAATCTGGCCAAAAAATTGCGTTACGACACAGACCCAACGTGCCGATCTGGCCAGAAAATGCCAGATCTACGGCCAGCTCTGGTCGACGAGGCCGTAAAACACAGTCTGACGGCAAAATCTTGGCCATCGTTGATAGACAACGACGGCCAGATCTTTTAAGATGGAGTTTTGTGGCCTCGACGGCCAGATCTGGCCGTATATCTAGCCTTTTCCGGCCAGATCCGTAGCGCTGGAAAAGGCCAGATCGACGCGTTACAACACAGATCTGACGGGTCTGTGTCGTAATGCAGTTTTCCAGCTAGATTCCGACGGTGGTGGCCGGAATCTGGCACTGTGGGTGGTGAGGGTGTTTTTGTCATTTTATAAAATTTTTAGATATTGGGGTGTGGGGTGTTTAGTTAAATTAGCAAACCTATGGGGTTTTTAAGAAATTTTTAAATTTATAAAAAACTAAAATATCAAATGTCAAAGGCATTCTAGTCTTTTCACTATTAGGAAATGGAAATCACTAACAGCATATGATAGAAGGTAGCCGTTTGTCGTTTCCAAACCTTTTAGGTACCAATCATCATTGTGGCAAACCTTGGGTATGTACAAGTCGGTCGGCATATATACATTGATTAAATTCAACCTTGGGACTAGGAGGCCATGTGCTAGAAAACTGTGTTTCTTTCAAAATTTAACAGCAAAATCTTTATATATCGCAGTGATATTGACACAAATTAAATCTTAAAAAAAAAAAAAAAAAAAAAAAAAACTCATTTATAGAAAACAAGTTAGCCCACATATGTAAACTACGAGCCGATCATGCACCGATATAGTGACTCTGGCCACCCTCCGACGATAGTGGCCGGCTATCCGTATTTAATGGATGGATTGAGGGTGTTTTTGTTAACTTTTAATATTTCATTATAGGGGTGTTTAGTAAATAAAGAAACATAGGGGGTATTTTTGTTAATTTCAAAATCCTACTCGTAATACCCGTCCAATTTAATTTTTTTTTAAATATTATTATAAAAAGTATCAGAATAATAAATCAAACGGACCCTAAGAAGTTTCCAAAAATCTATTTATTTTTAAATAAAAAATAAAAAACTATTAATGTTTATGATAGAAACAGAAACAACAAACACCACCAGAATTTAATAACATTTTTTGACCATTTCACCTATTAATTAGTAAAAATCTTGCCAGCATTTACCGTCTAGTACTGTAAATGGGTTAATAAGATAAACCTTAAGATTATAACAAAAAATAACAATAATGATAATTTAATAATAATACTACAGACGACGGAGCAAGCGTCTTTGCCAATTCAACAGTCCGAAGAAACCCTTGCAAATTCTGATCACACTCATTTTCATCATCCGTATGCTCCACTGCATAAACCAACATCCCGCTCAAGCCAGCCTTGTTAACTTTCTCGACGCAGCGTTCGGCCTCTGCAATGGATTCGCCAACGCAGAAGTGTTCGTAAAACGTGTGTCTAACCAAGCCGGTGACCATTTCACTGGTGATATTGATGTTCATTAGCCTGGAATTCATAACCCATGTGTTGAGATCATAAAAAATCTAGCCGAAAACGGCCAGATCGTGTCAAAGATATGGCCAAAAAAAACAATAACAACGTAAGCCTGCCCAAATCTGGTTGGCCTTGCATCGTTACGGCGCTGATGGCCGACGATGGGTGGGTGGTGTGATGGTATTGGATAGGCTGTAATTTATTATAAATACAAAGGTGTTAATGCCAAAAAACTTAATTAATTAAAGGTAAAATTATAATGATAGGTTTATTTAAATTAAATGTGTTATAAAGATATTATTATCTTAAAATTTTATTAATAAAAAAGAAAATTATAATAAAAATAAGATTACTCGTAAATTTAAATACAACAGATGACAATCACACGTTAGTTAGATTAAGATGACTTACCCCAACCAAACGCAACCTTAAATTTATTCGTAAACACATATCTTCTTTCTTCTACTTCTCTATTTCAAATCCGTTCTCTCTTTTTCTGTTCTCTTCCTCCTTCGTCTCTTTCTCCTCTTTCCTTCATCTCTTTCTCTTCCTTTATTTTCTTTCCTCCTCCCCAATCACACCCTCTAGTTGCCGCTGTTTGGCAACCAGATCTTGCCAGCCAGCCAGATCGCAAAGGTTCCGACTGAAGACTGAAGCTACTGAAGTTGTGAAGCCGTGAAGAGTGATGTTACGGGTGGAATTGATGATTGAAAATGGCCTCAACAACCCTTCCAATGGGTTGATTTGTGATTGCACAAAATGTTTGAGATCATATGTTAGATCATTCTTCCAAGAACTTACCACACAAATTGAAGATAGTTATGAGTTTGTCATATGTTTAGAAATAGACTATACACAAGATTCGTAAGCCGCGTTCAACACGAAAGACTTTAACAAATCTCATAGCCATCAAATACAATTTGAGCAATCCCCAATCATTTTCCTATCCCTGTTCAGACTAATGAATTCTAACGGATTTCCTACCCCTATCAAGACGTAAGAATCTTGATAAGAGTTAAAGACATGGAGCCCTCTATCTAAGGTTTGATGTAATAACAAAAATCTGTATGATTTTTTTTTAAATAAAAAACCCCTACCATCAGTAAACCGTTAAAACTTACACTTATTAGAAGTTAATGAGTATTTATCAAATTGCCCTCCTACCATTAATTTTAACACCTAAAATTTAGCGACACGAGAATTTTGTTATTTTAAGAACCTTAGGAGAAGCTTTGTTATTCAATCATAACTTAAAAGGGAAAAATGTTATTAACTCTTTTGATAAACATATTTAAGGTATATCATAACTAAATGGCAGGTCT